AGTAAAACTTTAACCACTACCCATAGTTTGCCAACCCCTGTTTTATTTTATTTTGGGGTTTTTTTTTGGCAGTACTGGAGTTTGAACTCAGGGCCTCATACGTGGTAGGCAGGTGCTTTCCCACTTGAGGAGCCACGCCCCCAACCCCAAACCCTATTTTAGAGTTTTAAGCCACTCCATTGAAAAAGCAGGCAGGAAAAAAAAGTGAATCTTGCATTAGGTAACACTGGGCAGCATGGGACTCTTCCAGCAATGGTGTATGGCCTGTGGCTCCTCTTTGTCTACCCTGCCATTTCTCCACACCTGCTGATTGCATTCATTCCCCAGGTTAAAAGACCACCTTCTCATCCTTGGCTCCACAACCCACCTTTCACAGTGCCTGTTGAGCGTCTGTGCATTGGTCCCAGTCTGTACCCTGAATCAGCTTGTCTACTGACAACCTCCCTGGCTGACCCATCTGACCTGTGTTTTCTGTTAGTCCCAGGAATAGGTCCAGCACCTCAACTGTCATTGACTACCTCTTGGTCATGTGTATCACCAGTTTTCGCAATCTGTGTAGCTGGTGATTGCCCAGGTTTCACAGCCCACCCCATCCCTCACTGTTCCCAGGCCAGTGTTAGGTCTGGCCTCTCACCAGGACCCCCTTTTGGCCCCAGTTTTTTTCCTTGCAAATGTCCTATAATCCAGTGCTCCATGATTGTCACTAAAATATAGGTCTGGTCCCGTCTCTTTTCCCTAGAGATAATTTTGTGAGTTTCATCTTTCAAAACTGATTTTGTTTACATTGGCTTTGTAAAACCTGAATCATATCTGTTGGGTCCAAAAGTATCCTAACCCTTCAAATGTTTGGCTCAGCCAGGGTTCAAGTAGGCACATATTTCTTCCTTACTGTCAGTGAACAGTGATGGTTGAATTAACTGCAGAACAGTAGGGAACTGGACATTTTTAATGTATGAGAAATTGGGTTCCTTTGAGAAATTTATTCATTATCCATTCTCAGCTAGTGGAATGCACATTGTACATATTAAAAACATATTTTTGGCTTTTTGCCTTTCATTTAGAATTTATTTAGGGTCTGAAAAAATAACATAGCTTACAAATGGGATCTGTCGCCACTGACCACTTGGGACTCCCAGTTCTATAGTTAATAGTGAAGAATGTCTCCTTGTAGCTGACATTAGAACCAGAGCATTTTATCTCTATTTGTCAAGTATTTAATATATTCATTCATGTGTTCACTGACTCTGAACTATTCACTAATATTTGTGAAGCACAGAGGATGTTGGCTGGGCATACTCTTAGCTTCAGCATCTGAGGAAGACATTCTGTACCTGTCCCCAACAAGGATCTGAAAAAGGCAGAGACATGCAAGAGCAATGATTAGGAAGGTGTCCAATCAAGGAAACTAGGAAATGATCCAGGCAAGTTCAACAGGAAAGACCAGAAATTGGTTAGGGGCCAGGAAACAGCTGTACAGATGGTGTGGATCAGGTTACATTAGTAATCAAGTTAAAACCCCTGAATGGCAGGGGTATCAGGGAGTGAGGCAGGGTCCCCTCAACTTAGAGATGATGTCAGGACAATGGTTAAATTACATTGTCCTCTACCCTTCCTGCTGAACGTACCTTTAATTCCAGATCCCTAAAGAACCATGTCAGCTGCTAAGAGTAATAGTGATGCTAGGCTAGTTGAACCAGAGTCTCCCTGTGGAAAACTCACAGACTTTTGTGGGGAGCAGAGGTAAAGAAAGGTCTTACAGGTAGCTCTAGAGATGACACTCACAGTAGAGGTGATCTCCAATGTGAGACCTAAAGAATGGCTGCCATTTTTCTCTTAATTTTAAAAGCCCTATAAAATTGATCTGAGCAGTGGGTAATCTTGCTCAAAAGATAGGAACCCCTGTGATGAGAGTCCATAATAATTAAAATGTTCCTGATGCACGTGGACTTCCTTGGCTTCATGGAAACCTTGAACCTGCCCTTTCAACCTGGGACCACTGATTCTTACCCCCGGCAAATATTTCTAGAGCACCTGTTATACACATAGTTCTTTTAAATACTCCTCAAAAGAGAGGTAGCCCATTTAATATGAGGAGTCTGATCTCTTATCAGAACAGTCATAGTGTGCCGGTGCAGTGGCAGAATTTCTCTTGGCTCCTAGCAAAAGCCAGTCCCTGGGTTTATTTTCCTACAGTGAGGGCATATGTGAAGAGTTTGAGAAGGAGAGGGAGGCAAGGTGGCACATAAATAAAGTTGGAAACACTTTGAAGTCACCCAACTGTCAGTGTTCTTATTTTTTAACACCCTGAATTTATGAGAATCATTGTGTTCCAGACTTTGAAGTGGGAACACTGCGCAATGAAAGGCCTGGTTGGATATCCCTAACAATGCAACATGTTAGATACAAGGGAACTTGAATCAAATTGAAATGCAGTGAGCTCACATTTTAGCCACTTTTGTTTTAGGTGGGCTAATTTCAAATTTCACTCATTATACATGCATGTCTGTTGTGTTTTTCTTTGAGGCCCCAGAGAGCATACTACTTGGCCATGAGGCAATAGAGTTTTAGAAAATTAGATCATTTTGAAACAGGAACCAAAGCCTATTTGGCAGAAGTACAGATGGGGTGTGATGAGGAGGATAAATTTAGATTCTGAAATGCCAAAGAGGCAACTTGAATGATTATCTTCCTTTCCTCTCCCACTCACCACAGTGACCTGGTAGAGCTCCCTGCCTTCCGCTCCTCCCTCCCAATACTCACGGATCTGGTTTGTCTCTCTTGTTCCTGACATAGGCACGCCTCCTCTGGCTGGGATCTAAGAAATTGCCTGTAAGGATGTGTACTAGTTTCCCCAGCTGTCAAAAAAAGACACCACAGACAAGGAGGTATATACAACAGACATTTATATCCTCACAGTTCTGGATGTGGGTAGTCTGAGATCCAGGAGTTGACAGGGTTGGTTTCTTTGCACATCTCTCCTTGGCTCATTGCAGAACTTCTCCTTGTGTCCTCAAATGGACTCTTCTCTGCCTGCCTGCATCCTGATCCCTTTTTTCTAATAAGAGCAGTAGTCATGGTGCTCTATCATCTAGACTAATGGTCTCATTTTATCTTAATTATGCCTGTTTAAAATCTTTGTCTCCAAATAAACTGTTACATTCCCGGGAGATGGGGATTCAACCTATGTATGTATTTTGGTGGCACAATTCAGGCCATAAAAGAGTAAATCCTCTTGGGAAAGGGACATGCTGAACCTTGTTTCGGGCCCTGATATGCTTGTTGTGCTCTCCAAAGCATCCCAGTTTCCAGGCCCAAATGAATAACTGCTTGTCCCCAGCCTTAGCTCATGCCTGTGTACATTGCACAGCACCCTGACAGTAAGAATCTTTTCTCCCAGTACATGTTTGTGCACCTGATGAGAGTGGAGTTGGAATGTTTGTGTATATTTATATGGGTACAAGGTAGATATTATCTACAATTTGCAAAATATGAAGCTGAAGCCTAGGAACTTAGCTGTCACTGGTCCTAGTGGTTCTGTTCAGTACAAGTTGCCTCTCATCTTATGGGTACGAGAGTTTAGACTGGAGGCTCCTGAGGTCAGGATGGGTTTGTCACCTTTGCTCCCTCACTTGCAGCTTATTAAAAATTGCAGACTAACCTTTCCCAGACATCAACTTTCTCATGTAGACTTGTATAATACGTACACGTTCCTTTCTCTATTCTGTCTTCATCACTTGTAGATCCTATATTTGTGAATGTGCCCAATTTATTTGTTAGCTCCAGAACAATACAGAGATTTTTTTCAGCCATTAATGGACATGTTCAGAGCCCCCCAGAATTGTCACCTGACAAGTTCGTTCCAAGCTAACATCCAGTAAGGCAACCTTGGCCATTTTTTGTCTGTTCTGGTTATAAATAAGTCTCTTCAAAGCCTATTTAGTGCCGCATTTTTTGCATCATATTTTTGTGCTTTTTGTTGATGAAAGTTTGTAAAGAACAAGCCACTAATGTGGACAGAGAACAACAAGGCTTTTCAGTAGGAATGCCATTTTCAACAACACAGGATAATATGCTTCAGGCACATTGAATGATATAAGGGAGGTTATCTCCAGAAGTTTGTGTCTTCTAAAGATTAGTGAGTCAAAATTAATATTATAACACCTGTTAATAAAATGTGGGATGTATAAAATGCATTGATAGTCTTTATCAGGCATGCTGTCCTTAATGCTTTATTTAATGAACATAAAAACTTACTCTTTTTTCCTTTTGATCATTTGGGGGCTTAACTTTACCACCAATGAATGCTGGGGCGAAGTGTGGAACTGCACATTTCATTGCGCAGCACTTAATACACATTAGATTATAAACATTTTTGAGTGACTACTCAGTATGATTCATGTTAAAATAATGAAACAGTTACTGTTTTTCTTAATGGCCCAGCCTTTGTCAAGAAATACGCTAAGAGTTTTGCATGGATTAACTCATTTAATCCACCCAGCTGTTCTTCAGGTGTTTTGCCATTGTTCACATTTGATGGATAAAGAAACTGAGTCACAGAAAGGATAAGCTACTTCCCAAGATCTTTAGGAGTTCGCAGAGCTAGTATTTAAATCCTAGGCTCATGGTGCCACATATTGAATGCTTTACTGCCTCTACTATCACAGACAAGAAAAGGTATTCTTCTTTTATGAAGAAACATGTAGGTAATAACGTATTGTCCGTTTCAGAACATCATCTTTGTTAAAATGCTGTAGTGGTTCATGGATGTGGTCCCTGTAGCACAATTACACTTTGTTTCATGGGGGACAATACACATCATCTTAGACATCACCTTTGTGTGGAGGTTCTGCTGCCAGCTGTGGATCAGTGATCTTTGTATATGACCGTGGAGAAGAGATTGAACACAAGTTTGTTCAGGTCTCTTCCTAGGAGGTGGCGTTTTTAGCCTTCTGAATGACAGTCACGTCAATCAGAAAACCTCATCATGTGCTTGTTTACAGAAAATCATTCTGCACCTCCTGACGTAACCACGTACACCTCAGAACACTCAATACAAGTGGAAAGGCCACAGGGCTCAACGACATCCCGGACAGCACCAAAGTATGGCAATGCCGAGCTCATGGAAACCGGAGATGGTATGTTTTATAGCTAGAATATTGTCTTCCTTTGTGAACACTTTCTGCTGACTTGCATTTCTATGCTCATGATTGTTTTTTCTGGTTTTTGGTTTGGTTTGGTTTGTCTTCTTTTTTTTTTTTTTTTTTTTTGGTACTGTGGTTTGAACACAGGGCCTCATGCTTGCTAGGTAGGCACTGTGCCACTTATGCCACTCTACCAGCTCTGTTCTTTCTAATTGGATGTATTTCTTCCTAGACTCACAGTTAATTCATTGAATCTGCCCCATCAGATTCCTCATGAACCTTCTGTAGAAGATGGTCTAGCCGTAAGAAATACAAATTGTCTCCAAGTTGTCTATTATTCCTACAGGAAAAAATGTAAATATTATAGGGAAAGATGCTGCTATTTTGCTAATGAATAACTCATGCTGGTTGAGTAAATAAGAAATTCTAGCACAAGCTTGAAGACCATGAGCAGTTAGTTACAATGGCAAGATGAAGTCAAATGCAAATCAAATGATTGACAGATGGGTAGTGTGGTGCTTTCAACTTGGAAAGAGGTAGTTTTACTCCAAATTGGATGAAGATGATCAGTGACTTGATAAATGACATCATTGGAAGGGCTCCCTTGTATTTTTAATCTTGGTATGCTGTGATTGATGTGGCTATTTTCATTACCAATCTAGAGCAGTAAGACTTGAAGGTAAACTTTCTGTCATAATCTGCTTTCCTAAGTCCCACTCCTGCCCAGGGTCACGAAAGTGAGACTGGAATTCAGCAGTGAAGCTAAATGGGTTTTTGTTGTTGCCGTTGTTTGTTCTTTCCAGTTTTTGACACATGGTCTCACTGTGTAGCCCAGGCTGGCCTGGGGCTTGTGAACCTCCTGCTTCTATTTCCCAAGTGATTGGATTATAGGTGTGTATCACCATACCTGGCCCTTAGGTGGTTTTTTTTTTTTTTTTGAAAGATGAACAAAAGAGTACTGATGTACCGTCCAGTTCACTGTGTGTTGATTTTTTTTATGTGATATCTGTGGAATTCACAATTAAATGGGAATTCGATTGTGAATTTAATCTGTAACAAGTAGTTTACTCTTTTCAACATGGTCAAAACCCAGAAGTCACTATTCATGAGCATTCCAGTTAATGCAATTGACATCTCTCCTGCTTCCAGTAGGATTGCTTTTTCTTCACTGCTGTTTAGCTTCCTTTATGTCCTCGATAAACCCACTATTTATTAAACCTGTCATTCATTGTTGTTGTTCTTGTCATCATTTTAGTAGCCTGTCATCATTATCACCTTTGTTCCTCCAGGTAAATTCTGAATCATATATTGTGTAGTCCAGTGTTTCTTAATATGTGACACCTCATATCAGAATCTCATTGTAGGCATTTGTAAGAGCAGATTACGGGCCACACCCCAGACTTGGAGTGGTCCAGGGATGATTCTTACAGATTCTGAACTAAGCTTCGGACACACTGCCTTGTGAAATGATTGACTCTTGAGTCATCTGTATCAAATTAAGTAGAACTATTTAGTGGGAAAATAGTATGTTTAGAAACTTAAGAATTCTGGTTTGTATATTTTTCCATAGTTTCACAACTATTCAATATTTAATGTCTCAATTCTGAAAGTACTCAAAAACATTTCTAGCTCACATACTAAGTTGTTTGTTTGATAGAAAATTTTCCTTAAGCTCTATCTTGTTCGTTCTAAAACTTGCTAATTCTAACTGTGATAATCAGCTCATCTACCCCATGGTTCCATTTTTCAGGTGTACCAGTAAGTAGCCGAGTATCAGCAAAGATTCAGCAACTTGTCAATACCCTCAAACGACCTAAACGACCGCCATTACGAGAATTCTTTGTCGATGACTTTGAAGAATTGTTAGAAGGTAAAGGAACCTTTCTCTAACCCAGTTTCTTTTAGATGTTCTATGGTTCTACAAACAATAATATTTTTTCTACCAGGCTGTTTTATTTTTTTAAGAGCAATAATCTTCCCTTCCCTTGATGATGGAAATCTACATCAAAGTGTAAGTGCTGTTCCCTACTGAATGCTTAAAAGATGCACCAGGCGCTGTGCGTTTAGACAGAGCTCCAAAGCTGAGTATTCATCACCCTCAGCAGAATGTGGTTTTGTTCTATGAGCAATGCCTCAATAAGATTATAGCAATGCAAAATTAAATTATAGAAAGCCTTAGCTCACAGCCAAGTGGCTTTCTCTGAACCAGCTGTGGAGAGGTCTGCAGAGGAACATGGTGGGGTGGCTCTGCCCTCCTTCTCTTCCTGCTGCTCTGCAGATCAGAGCTGCTGCCCTCACCCAAAATGCTAGGAAGCCTTTGAACCCAACGTGGAAGCAAAATAAAAGATTACTTGTGGTAGTAAAACCAAACTCCTTGTTCTCTAATTTGTGAAACAGCAAAAAGACATAACTGGTTTTCTGACCAGAAGGTGGAAATTGTCAGTTACAAACCATGAGAGCGAAACCTTTTCCAGAACTACCTGAAGGAGGAGGAAGATTGTGCTCTGTTACGATGCATTTGTTTTACTTTTCCTTAAGAAAATACTCCATGTTCTTGTTTTTCAAAATAGTTGTACTAAATTTATATTTACATCTTGGCATTTAAGGGCAAAATACAAACTTAGTAAGACTTGAGCTTTTTGGATTTCAGAATTACCATTTGTTGATTGAAATTTTGAACCTAGATGTTTAAATACTATACTGTGTGCATATGGTTTTGCCTGTTGTCAATTCACAAATGTACTCATGTCCATCTAACTTCTCCATTTCACACTGCTTTGGAAATCATTAGAATTAAATGTATCTTTCACATCCCTGAGACTAGCATATAGATCATGACCTTGATTCTAGAAAAGTATGTTTTCTGACAGCTAATGAAATTGTATGTTTAGTATAATTATCTTAGCTTTATAAAGAATCAAAAGTAATCATACTAATATGGGTGTATTTTTTTTTTTTTTGAAAACCTTTTGTCTTGAAATGCATTTAGTTCAACAACCAGATCCAAACCAACCAAAGCCAGAGGGCGCCCAGATGCTGGCAGTGCGTGGGGAGCAGCTGGGGGTGGTCACGAACTGGCCACCCTCTTTAGAAGCTGCACTGCAGCGATGGGGGACCATCTCACCCAAGGCCCCCTGCTTGACCACCATGGACACGAATGGGAAGCCCTTGTACATCCTCACTTACGGTAATCCTCTAAGGTCTCTTACAGCAATGCTGTAAGATGCATTCCTCTCTCCCTTGCTTCCTCCTGCCTGTAATTGCTACTGAATGTAAAGAAGGTAGATGTCTTTTGGGTGGTTCCTTTACATTTGCACTGCCTCGTCTGTTTCTGGTACAGAAATAAATGGAACATAAAGGAATTTTTTAGGAAGATTATTCGGTGTCAAAATAGGTGTTAATGTAATGAACATGACTCTAATAAGATGTTAGGTTTAATTTTTTGAATATATATGTGATTTTCTTGAAATGAATACTTTCAACAATGGTTGGTAGAAAATGTGTATCTATACTGCATGACAGGAGTTTTAGTCATAATTCTGACACAATCCTGAATGGTATAGTACAAAATGTTGAAAATGAAAAATCAAAACCCCAAAAGTTTAAAATTCCCAAAGAGTCCAGTTACAGTGGCTTATGTCTGTAATCCCAGCTACTTGGGAGGTGGAGATCAGGAGGATTGTGATTTGTGGTCAGCCCAGGCAAAAAGTTAGTGGGACCCCGTCTCAACAAATAAGCCAGGCAGAGTGGCATGTGCCTGTGATCCCAACTATAAGGAAGACAGAGGTAGGAGGCCCAGACAAAAGCATGAAGACCCTATCTGAAAAATAACTAAAAGGTAGATAAGTAAATAATAAGTAGTAATAATAGCAGAGGCAATAACTAAAGCAAAAAAGGCTGGGGGTATGGCTCAAGTGGCACAGGCCCTGAGTTACAACCCCTCACATGTAATTTTGGGGGATTTTTTTTTTAATTCCTTAAAAGACATTTATATTTTCAATAGGGAATTTATCTGAGAAACATATGACAACATAGATGAACCATTCAGAAACCAATTTACACAATGAAATAGATAATAATATACTCATAAACACTCAGGTTAACTCACACTAGTCACACAGAATTGACATTTATAAATAAATGAACCCTATCTGTAAAGAACTGGGTCAGAAAGCAGAACACATGCCCCCCTGTCTCTGTTGGTAATTGTGTCACTGGCTTTATAACTGTGACAGTCTAAACTACCACAGTGATAGACAGTCTGAATGGGATACCAGTGACCTTTTAACAAGTTAAGTCAAAAGCAGTGTTGAGTCACTACTGCATTCACAGTCACCCAGAGGGCTGAGAATCTTGAGAAATTTTATCTCACACAAAATGCAAGTGTAGAAAAAGGACACTTCCTCACTTGAGGAAATTGCAGCATTTTTGCGTGCACAACAATGCTGACACACTGTCGTCATTGAGATATTGCACTTCTGCAGGCTCAAATTTGCAAAAAAAGCACAACACAAATTAGAACTGTCTAAAAGTCCTTATACAGTTTATACTCCCAGTTCTGGAAATGATACAAAGATGAAATACATAGTGTAGCAGATTGTAAAAAAAAACAATGCTGACAATTTTGAATAGTAGATAAACGAAAATAGCCTGAAAACCCTGGGGTGAGGTGCTGGTTGAATCCTGGAGTCCAGAGGCTAGTGAGTCTGAAATTCTGTGTGGGTTGTTTGTTTTGCTGTGTGTATGTGTGCGCGTGCATGAGTGTGTGTGTGTGTGTGTGTGTGTGTGTGTGTGTGGCATTGCTAGGAATCAAACCTGGGCCACCTTATGCATGCTGCTGAGCTGCATTCACAACCTGAGCCCTGAGTTCGGATGTCTAATGCAGCAGAAGCAACCTTTGTCTCAGTTCTCAGAGTGTGCTTTGCCCTCTCTGCACCCTGGCTGATTGCATGGTGTCCATCCACAGTGAGGGGTCATTTCAGCTAACCCACTTAGACTCATTCTGATCTCTGAGGACAGCCTCACAGACACACCCAAAAATAATGCTTGAGCATTATGAGCATCATATAGGACTTAGCATTAAGCTAATTATCTATCCTGCCTAACGGTATGCCAGTGTCCTGCATACAAATGCGAACATGCAACCCTTTCAGCAGAATTTCTTTTTCATAGCTCTTACATAGTCATTTGTTTCCCCTGCAATGGCAATTGTAGTTTCCAGGATTTGGGCTTTTAGGATTTCAACATTTGGGATTTTGGGCTTTCAGGATTGTAATTATGGGTGTGTGTGTAAGGGGTGGGATAGGATTGATTTTCCAGGATTTCAACACTTAGCATTGTCAGTATTCAAGGCTGTGACTTATGATTGGCACCACTTGGACATTTTTAGTCAAAAGAAGCAAAATCTATATCCACAGTTCTTTTTCAGAAAGCCAGAGAAAGGAGCATCCCTTAATTCTTCACTCAGTGCAATTAATGTAGTCTGTAAACTTTTGCAAGTAGGTAGCTATACTAAGAGAGATGCCTTCCTGCTTGCTCAATAGACATGAACAGACTATCTGGTTATTTTCACACTGTCTACTTCATGTTTGCAAAGAGACAAAGCTTAATAGCTAAAAGGCCAAAATGGCTCAATCTGCGTCTGCATGTATAAGGTCATCTGTTTTAATCACACAAACACTGTTCTGATTGCAAGTAGGAAAGAAGTTGATTTCTACATTAGCCGTCAAGGTCAAGAGCCAGATGTTATGTTAAATGCTGGAAGTAAGTAGGGTCAAGTCTTTCAAGGTAGGGCTCAGGAGGCACCAGCTGTGGACCAGTGCCTTTCATGCAGTGAAACAGGCTTTGGGTTTGGGAGCGTATTTTGGGTTTAAGGGCTTATGTTTCATAGCCCTTTGGTTTTCATGACTTTTGTTGGATAGTTTTAAATGGACAGAGAATGTCACCCATGGTCAAGCATAATCTTGATTTATTTCTTTTTAAAATTATGCTCTTGGAAATAGGTTTTATTCCATCAAAAAGGCTTCAGTATTACCCTTGTGTCTGGCCAAATTCATCATCGTTGCTAATTATGTACATGGAATCATTATCTCTTGACATCTCATTGCTCTTACCTGCCTGTATGTGGGAAAACCTTAGGTCCCACCTGTCTACATGCATGAGCATGTGTTCATTCTGATGGCTAGATTAACCACATGGAATACATTGCCACAGTACTTGGGCTTGGGAAGTCAAAGCTGAGTGACACACAGAGAGGTATAGAGTCTCAAGTAGGATAGCCACTGTCTGCTCATGGGCTGCTGATTACAATGGCAACACTTGCTGCTTTTTCTTGCACAGCTCAGATGAGCTTGAGGTCTAAAACACAGACTGAGTGTTACATATCTTAAAACTTGGTTCATCAAAGTATCATACAACTAAAGCATTTCAACTCCTACTTTGAAATCATCTATATTTTAGTGTATTTGAATCTTCTATGTTAGTCGTGTATAGTGACTCAATCTTAGTTTTCCCTTGCTTGAAGAAAACTAATATATGAAACTAATACATTTCCAAATATAAGATTACAGCTTATCAGGATGTGACTGTGTTGGTTAACACAGTGACTACTATAGATAATGTTATCTATGTAGAAACATAAAACAGATGAACCAATGATTGAATATTGCTGAGAAGATTCAGGAAGAAAAAGTTCACTGAATTTGAATTGTTCTAATGCCTGAGTATTTGGCATAATCAAAAGACTACTGTTTAAAGTTTTATAGTTTCCCTTCTGCTCCAAAATTTAGCTTCCTGCCAAGTCCTGGGGAAGTAGAATTCTTACCTGAGAGCTTAGGATATTTAATAGAAAATATAGGTGGCAAATGAAAGTTGTGAAAAGCTGACAAAAGATCTTATGTCTTCCATTTTCCAATAGAAATACAAAGCATACTAAAGTACCCATGGGATGCCCTCAAGTATTAATAAAATAAATTAATAATCTTAAATTAATAAAAATAAACCATACCATACAGTTAATTTCCCTTTATTATGTCCTACCTGGCAAAACCTTTTCAGTATCTTCTGAAAAATCTCCTCTCTGGTTTTAGTGCATTTCAGTTTTCTACCAAACAAATGCTTATGTTCATGTTTTTTCTCTTTTTTTATGGCTTTACTTTTACTCTAAGTGTTCAAGGAATTTAGATGCCTGAATTAAAAAAGCATTGGGCTTTCTTTCTGGACATTTGTTGGTGTTTTGCACTGTTAATAGTGTTGTCTTTGAAACTCACAGCCCAATTTTATGGTGGGAGCTCTGCAGTTACATTTTATGGTGGGAGCTCTGCCTCCCTGCTCTGCAGTTACATTTTCTGTGCAGTTATTTGTTCCTCCTTCAAATCTGAGTGAAGTTGAAGTTACTATGTAATAAGTAGTGCTTCCTCAGTATCTTTATCCATCAGTCAAGAACTTCTATATCTTCTGTTATTTACATTCTTCCGTTATTTACATTAGCAGCTGAACTTAATCTTTCTATAATGTATATATATATACAAAGTATAAAAATACTAAGTATACACCAAGAATTTTGCCACAGGTTGGTGTTGGTTTTGTCCTTTAGTAATTCTCTATTGAAAAGTCACTTTGTATGCGTTTATGATACTGCACTTTAAGATTCTCAACTGAGAATGAGTTGATACTTAACAAACTGTAATGGTGCTAATCAGTTACAATTGATTTGTTCATTTACAACATGTTGATATTTTTCAGTTACAGCAAATTCTAATTATTCAACTATAATAATTGCTTAGTATTGTTTACATTAAAGAAGTCTGTAGGCACAAAATACTTAGGGGGAAAAATCATTCCCTGAATTATTTCTACTACACTGATGACTGCTTACACAAAAAGAAATATAATCTCCACATAAAATACTGAGTGATTTTAAAGTGGCCAGCCTTGAGATCTATAGCGTCGAGACGAGGAGTTAAAGAAGATGTAGAAGGGAACATAAATAAAATCTTACATCTAATAATTAAGTGCAGAAGAGTTATACTAAATTCCATGCCATAAGTGTGTGCCTTATCAAAATTTACTAGTGACATTGATAAAACTGAGGCACTTGTTGAGGACATACTACAAACCAGGAATGGCCCTAGGAGCTGGGACAATCAGAGATAAAATGTGTTTGCTTGGAATCACTGAGGGGCAGACAAGTTGATGACCCTGATAAATAGTAACTCTACTAGTTTGGTAGCTGCAATCCCAACATGAAATAAAATAAAACAAAGATCAAAATGAGCTGTAAATCAAAAGAGTTCTGTGATTTAGTTTTACTTTACAATCGAAAAAAAAACAGATTAAAAGAGTGTGTTAAAGCTGAAAATAATTAGAATTACTCTTTGTTCTATTACTACATTAATGTATCAGCTAACACCTTCACTCTCCCTGAAGCACTATGAGCGCTTGGTTTCTGGGACTAGGTTGCAGAAGGCCTGTATGTTCTCAAGAACTCCTTTGAGATTTGAAGTCATTTTTCTTCCACCTCAGACTACTCACCATCACCTAGATAATACAAAGGAAATACCTGGTGGTGGGATGAGGCAAGGATGTAAAACATAGAAGTCCTTCAGAGCTGGCTTTTTTTTTTTTTTAAGCTCTTAAAAATGTTCAGAAGAAAAACTTGTATTTAGACAAAGTTTAAATTTTTGTCTAAAGTTTTTTCTGAATCCAGTGATAAGGTTTTTTTCTAGAGTTCATAATTTTAAAGTAATTCCAAATATTTGCCATTATCCAAAGTTGACAATTCCTCTTCCAAAATGAGGGAGGTTAGGAAATTTGAATCTGAGAAATTTCAGACTGAGGTATGAGAAGGGATCAGGCTTTTGAGTGACTTTAAGGGACATTTTTGTGCTGTTTGTAATCATATAAGACCAGGCAGATTAATAAAAGATACATACATCAAGAGCAATTGAAGCAGAGTGGTATTGGTGTCATTAACCACAGCTCCCCTTATACCTTCCCCACAACCTGTGTGGTGAAAAGTAAAAGTGTTTGTGGTTTTGCTGTAGGTTCTTTACACACTAGGAGGAATTTCATTGGCATTGGGACCCTTATTCAAATATTCGGTGTCTCTGAATGTGAGTCAGGTCTGTTGGCACCTGTTTTCTGTAATGATTTCAGGAACTTGGAATAAGTTGAAGACTTCAGATAAAAAAGGCTTTGGGTAAATTTCATCTCTGAGAGAGGATTTCTCAAAAAAAAAAACCCCACCCTCCCAGTTCCTTGGCTGTGTAGTGTTAACTAATCAGAGCCTTGTGACAACACGTCCCAGCAGCTCCTTCCCTCATCTGCCAGGCAGAACACAGACTAAAGTTGGGTTCCTAGTTTTTTTCTTTCTCCTGAAGCTTTATTTTTAAAAAACCTCTTGTACTTTCCTGCTTTTCCTGCATTTCCAGTTTCTGGTCTTGCCCACTAGTTCTCTTTTTCCTTGACAGTCGGTAGGCCTCGTGTACTAGATCTAAACTGGATGTATGTATAGACTATCAGAGAATATGCTCTAGTTTAGTGTGCATATTTGCACATAACTGATAAGGCATATGTGTAACAGTAAAATTACTGGTTTCTTTATGCTTTGTATTGACAGGCAAACTGTGGACAAGAAGTATGAAGGTTGCTTACAACATTCTCCATAAGCTAGGTACAAAGCAAGAACCTATGGTGCGGCCTGGAGATAGGGTAAGTGCAGTTTAAATTACTGGATCTGCATAGCACGGTCTTTTGTAGAGAAGATGCCTGCTATTTCACAAACCCAGCATTCAGCCTCTCCTCCTTCTGTTACTACTATGTAAGGCTTTCTTCATGTTTGAAGCAGGAGCAACTGTGTAGAAAGTGTCATTTAACTTCCACAACAACTCAATGAGCTGAGATGTAGTTTTTCTCTCATTTTATGCATCAGGGACACTGAGGCTGTGAGGCAGGTAAGTATGTCATGACATGAAGGCAGGTAACTAGTAAATGGCACCGCTAACCTTCAGGTCCATGCCTGCCAGCCTCCAAAGCCCATGTTTGTAACCACTGTCATGGTCATGGTCTCTCTCCTTATTCGCAATGCACTGTGTCATCTACCTGGGCAGGCAGGACAATATTGAGGGTGTTTTTTACATTAGTCGGTGAGACAGAGAATCTTGCAAGCCAACTGTTGGGCCAGTTCTTTTCCCAGTACTGTCTTAGTACAAGCTCACCAACTGCAAAGCAAATTTATTCTTATCACAACTGGGTAAGCTAAAGAGGACAGACGTTAGTTTTTCTGTTTTAATGTTATACCTGAGCAGTTAATAATCTTATCCAAGCTTTATACCCCAATATACATGTGGAACTTGGTTCAGAACCCAGTTTTCTTGCCTTCAAATGTACTGCCTTTTTTTTTTTCTATTTGCTGCTCTGTGTCATAGACGCTCAAAGGAGGCCTGCTAGTGAATTCTATAAAACAACATGTTAGCACACCAAAACCCAACAAGAACATGAGCTTCGGTTTACTTAAGAGTAATTACAAAGACATGGGCCTGTTATGGCGATTTTTTGAAGACAGCTGTAACTCCAGGATAATGTGTTGGACATTGGTTCTTTACTTTTGTCATTGAATGATTTTAGCATCAGCTTTTAAAAATAAACTGTGGGTAGGTGCCATACATCCTGGACATAAAATTTACTCCAAAGCTCTAAGGATTTGTGTGGCATTCGCAGAAAGATAGACCAGTGGAATAGAGTCGAGTAGGCTAGAAATAACCACATGTATGGCCAGATGACTTTAAGCTGTGCCAAGATTCTCAATGAAAACAGCACAGACTTTCCAAAAAACAGAACTGAGAAAAGGGGATGTCCACATGCAAGAGAATGAAATAGGGCCCTTAAGGCAATAAACAGCTCCCCGCCCAGAAAAAAAACCCTCAAAATTAACCACCCACCCTAAGGAAGACCTAAAATAAGAGTTCAAGCTATACTACTCTTAGAAGAAAACAGAGAAGAAGCTTTGTGTAGTATTGGATTTGGCAGTGATTTCTTGGATCTGACACAGGCAGGCATCAAAAGAAAAAATAAATGGCTTCATTAAATTTAAAAACTTTTGTACACCAAAAAGTATTATTAAGAGAATGAAAAAGCAACCTAAAAATGAGTGAAAATGTTTGCAAATCATGTATTTGATAACAAATTAATGTTCAGAATATATAAAAAATAATTCTTACTAATCAACAATGGCCCCCAAACCCCAAAATTTCCAATTAAAAAAATGAGCAATGGCCAGGTGCTTGTGGCACAGGCCTAGCTAATTGGAAGGCTGCGATTGGAAGAACATGGTTTGAGGCCAGCCCTGCAAATAGTTCACAAGACCCCATCTCCAAAATAACCAGATCAAAATGGACTGGAGGTGGGGCTCAAGTGGTAGAGTGCCTGCTTTAGAACAAAGCCATGAGTTCAAACCCCACAACCACTTAAAAAAAAAAGGCAAAGGACTTGAATAGACGTTTCTCTAAAGAAGATTTACAGATTGTCTATAAGTACGTGAAAAAAAAAAGTTCAACATGACTAACCATTAGGGAATTGCAAATTAAAGCCAAATGAAGCATCACTTCACACCAAAAAGGATGGCTCTTGTCAAAACAGAAAGTGACAACTGTTGACCAGAATGTGAAGAAATTGGAGCCCTCTTGAGCTGCATCATATAGAATGGTACAGTCTCTGTAGCTGGTGGTTCCTCAAAAAAATAAAATAAAAAGACAGAATTAAACACAGAATTATCATTTGATCCAACAATTTGCATTGACGGTCCTACAACAGTGTATTTAATCCATTGAACTTTATACTTAAAAATAGCCAAAATCATAAATTTTCTGTTATGCAAATTTTGTCACAAAAATAAGAAAAACTCAATTGTTTATAATATCTCCCTTATCTATAAGTTGGTTCTTAGCAATTTTTAAAGAAATTGTTTTGTAGTATCACCTCCAGATTCTTAAATTTTCTTTTTTTTTTAATTAATTTTTTTTGGCACTACTAGGACTTGCACTCAGGGCCTCATACTTCCTAGGCAGAGGTGCTCCACCCACTTGAGCCACTCCACCAGCCCCAGATTCTTGAAGTTTCTGTGTAATAATAATTATAACATACACTTCCTAAGATGTTGGTAGGAAAGTGGGGGCACGGTTTTTCTAGGATGGAATATACAAGTAGATTTTCTTTGTTGGGTAGGTTTGACTTGGGCTAGCTACTTTTCTAAATATTTTCTTTAAAAAAGCTGTCCAATGTGCTCCAGTGGCACAATTGGTTAACGCATGGTACTTACACAAAAAAGCTGTCCCTGTCGTTATCATCTGGCACATGTGTATTTATTACATAAGTATATATATTATGATAGTGGTCAATTGATACTAATCTTCTGTTCTAATAAACAAGATCGTTTATCCTCTTTGAAAATCAATTTTCAGCCATGCACTGGTGGTTCACACCATAATCCTAGCTACTTGGGAGGCTGAGTTTGGGAGGATTGTGGTTCCAGGGAAGCCTAAGCAAAAAAGTTTGCTAAACTCCATCTCAACAGATTAAAAAAACAAAACAAAACAGTTGGGTATGATGGCATGCCTCTGTCATCCCAGCTGTGGTGGGATACTTAGAAGGATCAGGTCCAGGCTGACCTGGGCAAAAAGCAAGACTCTCTCCCAAAATAAACAGAGCAAAGTGGGCTGGAGGCATGGCTCAAGTGATAGAGCACCTGCCTAGTGAGAAGCCCTGAGTTCAAACCCCAGGACCATTACCACCACCAAAAAAAAGAATTTTCAGTAACAGTTCTCCCTAGAGCAATGAACATTTAGTGTTTAGCATAACTAGTATACCTTTCCAGAGGAGGACTGTGCTAATGCAACATGGAAATACCTTCAAGAAAGGCCTTTGTCCTCTGCTAAACTGTTGTGCTATGTCCACTCATGGAGCTTGCCTTTAAGAAGCTTGATTTATTTTTTAAAAATCCTAAAGGCACTTTGATAATCAGATTTTATATAAATTGGAAAGTAGCTGGATGTGGTGGTGCACACTCATAGTCCCAGCTACTCAGGAGGCTGAAGCAGGAGGGCTGGAAGCTGAAGGCCAGCCTGGGCAGCAGGATGAGACCGTGTCAGATTAACTGGTTGATTGATAGATAGATGGACAGATGGATGGATGGATGGATGAATGGATGGATGGATAGATAGATAGATAGATAGATAGATAGATAGTGTTGAAGGTCCCCAAAAGAGGTAGTAAGAGCTGTAGCTGAATTCTTTGAGAAGGGGACAAATAGTTTTCATTTGGAGGAGCATACGAGGTCTGAGTACCTTCTTGGGGAGGAAAACTAAGCCTGTTGCTCTTAGGTACCAGGAAATAGTGTCAAGGACTGCTGAGGAGGGGAGACCTGAGATGTGCAAAAGGAAAATAAGCCACTCATTTGCAGTTGGGTATCCAAAGTGTCTTGGAAGGAAAGTTGAGGAAGAAGATGGGATGTTTTCATAATGATGAAATTGCCTAACAATGCATTTCTGATCTCTGTGATAAGGCTAGATTAACTTAAAAGTTATGGGAAATTGGGTCCAGTATTTTTATGTAATAGGTGATAAGGTAAAGGAAATTTTGACAAACATAAACCATTAAATGCCTATACAATACAAATAGAAAATATGCCAAGAAGTCTTTGCATCAAATGCTCTCAAATATACTAAAAATTCAAATACTCAAATTTTAGGGACTATACCAAAAATTAACAGATGAAATTCACTCAAATTTTAGGGAATATACCAAAAATTAGCAGGTAAGAGAAATGAAAAACAGTTCATATGGGGATAATAAACGATCACGTGGAAAATCATTCATCGTTTAGACACACCATACTGTTCAGGATCATTGCAAAGTGTATATGGAACTGACGACTAATAGTACTTGTTGGGTGGTTTACAATAACTGCGTTCTGAAAACTCCACGATGATTCTACTGTAAAATTCGCTAGACTTGACAAAGGATGTGTGCATGGAGACCATGTACAACCAGGAGTTCATTGAAGACTTATCTGTAACAGTAGGTGACCAACGTATGCACGTACAGTATTATTCTACAATGCTGCTACCACTACCGAGACCAGTAACTCGTGCGTTTCTAGTGGTTAACTTCTGCAGATGCATGAGAAGTGTCAGGTGGGTCACACTGAGTTCTTCACAAATGATCTCCTGGACTGGGGGTGTGGCTCAAGTAGTAGAGCACCTGCTTTGCTAGCACGAAGCCCTGAGTTCAAACCCCTCTCCCACCAAAAACAAAAACAAAATTCTCTCTTTTGACCTTTACCATAGCACTGTTACAGGTTCTATCATTATTTCTGCTATTCAGATAAGAAAACTAAGACTTATCTGAATAAGATAAGTATAAGATACCAGAGCTAAAAACTAGTGTGGGCTCTATATTGAATTCGGTCTGGGTCTGGCACCTAAGCTGTCTGCCCAGCTATCTACTGAAGAATTATACAACTATTTAATTACAGTTTTGAGGAGTATCAAAATACAAGAAACTATATGTAAAGCTCAGTGAAAGTAGTTAAAAACCAAAGTAGTGTGTGCACTGTAATTTCAGCTTTGTAAAGGTTATGTGCTGTGGAAAGTTATGTTAACATGTAATATAATGAAAGGTAGTGGTGTTACAGATGACATTTGTTAATGTTTATCTTTTTACCTAAATTAAAGAAAACCTGAGATACTCTTATTTAGAAGTGTTTTTACATAGAGTGCTTAATTTTTTCTAATATCTTCCTTATTTAGAATTTTAATCTTGCCACATCTGGAAGGGTGGTTTCTGCCATTGGGTCTTAGAAAGTAGAAGACCAAGTGTTAATGTTGAAATTTCTTCCTCTTTGTTGGCCTGTCCCTCTAGGTAGCACTAGTATTCCCCAACAATGACCCTGCTGCATTCATGGTGGCTTTTTATGGCTGCCTGCTGGCTGAAGTTGTTCCTGTGCCCATCGAAGTGCCACTCACAAGAAAGGTAAAAAACTTGTTCATTAAACCCTGTTGGAGGGACATGACAGGCTCAATGGCGGGCGGACATCTGTTGAGTAAGAATGTGCAGACTGCGGTTCTCAAGATGGCTTTTCATCCTAGCTGGGATGGATGGAAACATGCTGACTCTGTGTTTCTGAGACTCTGAACAGGTTTTCATCAGTTATCTCCGCAACAGGAACACGTAGCACAGCTCCACTGCAGGGTGTGCGGCTTCCTGGGGGCTGAGCTTAAGTTTACTCGGTAGCAGAGTATATTGCTGACTGACCTCATTCTGTAAAGAGCAGTCATCTTGTTCCAAGCTTACCTATGATTTGTCAGATCCTATTCTGCACTTAAATAGCTAAACTTGCTGTTATCATTACCATGCGTTCAGTATAAAGAAACTAATATAAATACGGACCTTGCCAACTTAAGTCTCTCAGTCCATAGGATGTCTAATGCAGGGTTACGGCAACTCTGAGAAAGAAAAGCAGAATGAGGAGCCTACGGGAGAGCAGGTGTGCTGCTTATGGAGGAAGGGTGGTCAGGAATCGAAGGAGAGGCTGCCACAGTGGTCCCTTGAGCTGTGTAGAGGATGGGCCTTGCCCTTGGATGCTGCCCTTCAATTATCTGGGCTCCATTCAGCATATCTGTAATGAACAAACTATGTAGGATGACTTTTTCAGCTCCCAAACTTAACAATGCATGTAGCCCAGTCTAAGTGTTTTCAAAAAAACTTTCTGCTGTTGTTGTAGCTCCTCTGACATTAAATTGTATTGATTCAAAATTTAGTAACTTTCAGCATCTCTCAGAGTACATCATGGGTAGCTCTTCAGAGCCTGTGCAAGTTGTCTGGTTGCTTTTCAAGCTCTGTTCCTTGCATGGGGAAGGGAAAGACATGGGATTCCTTTCAGAAGTGAACAGGAGAGGTCATTGCCATTTAATTTTCTATGTACAAAGCCAATGAGTTCCTTGCTGGTCTTTCCTTGATCTTAATTTACCCATGCATGTGTCAGGCAGGGCTGCTGCAAGTAACCCTAGGAGGGAAGAGAGTCCTATAATCTTTGACCTTAGAGCTCCCCACCTCCTGCAGAACAGCCCTGATTTCTGCATGCATTTGCACCGGCACTCTGGGTGTACATTAGACACCCTATGGAGTGCTTCCTCATCTCCATCAGTCTTGTAATCTTCAAAGCATTTGAGTATAGGAATGGGGAAGAATTTGGGGATTTCTTGAACATCACAGTGAACGTTCTCCAGGCTACTTTTCTAGCCCCACCATTACACTAATCCTAAAATCCATGATGCTTCTCTCAGTTGATGTGTCTTCAGTGGACAGAGCTGTCTAACATAAAGAAACCTACTTAAGGCTCACAACCCTCTTCATCTCTGAGCAGTAGAAAGGTGATCATTCAGAAGAACTTGTGTTAATGAGCATGTGGGGCTAGTTCTCTGTTAGAGGTTCCACACTCAGATGCACATCACTTGTCATCATTACTAGTGACAACTTCTTGTGTTTCCTTCTCACATATGTAGTTTAGACTTGACTATTTTAAATGTATAGCCTGCCACCTTCCAAACCAGAACAGTCATCTGAGTGAAGAAGGTAGGATGGCTACCTTCCTGGAGAAAATACAAATGCCACTTTCTGGTGGGCAGGAGGACTCTGCTAATACTCAACATTGTAAGGTGTAATTTCAGAACTGCTGATGCAGGCATGTCATAAGATCTGAGGTGGCAGTCATTTGGGTCATGAGCTGTTCTACTGTAGCACATCTTTCAGATACTAGGAAATGATGAAGTTGAGTACCTTTTGAGCCCTGCTTGATAGCCTTATTTTTAACCTGTCTATTTGAGATGTATCTGACACCTTTCTATTGAGGTACTGCTGCAAATGTGTAGCGGTGACAGTTGAAGGAGAGGAATGCTTCACTCCATTACAAGAGGGACTCACAGTCTGCTTTGCTGAGGCAGCCCTGTGCACCCTCAGGCTCATTGTGCAGAGGGCAGGTTTGGCCTGGGGATGTGGGGCATCTCAGAAGTACTCTGGTCAGAAAGAGAGACAGGATGGGGATATTGCAGGGTGCAAGGATGTCTCACTTTCTCATTGGGAAGTCAAGGGAAAGACCCCTGACCCATAGCTTTCCCCCACTATCCACAGTGACAGCCCCCATTCAGTGGCCTTGATTTTGGTTACCAAAGAATCATAGACACCAAAAACCCTCTTAGAGGACAGGGCTAAACCTCTCTACTGCCCTCTTTGTCAGAGCATTTTTTGAAAGGAGAACATAGTGTGGAGGTAACAGGGCTTGAAGGTGACTGCAGAAACCATGGAAAGGGCACAGACTTTACCAGGACAGCTGAAACTTTTCCAAACCAGCATGTGAACCGTGTGCGGAGTGCTAGAGAGCAACATGTAGTTTCCATTCATACAGCAGACACCCTTCCCCTGGGGCTGAGCCTCTCAGGTTCAAAGATAGTACAGTGATTGTAGTTTTAATATTATTTTCAATTGATAAATCATAATTGTGTTTCTGGGGAACAGTGTGATGTTTCGATGTCTATATGCAGCGTAGAATTATTACACAAGCTAATCAGCATAGGCATCGCCTCACTTACCTATTGATTTTTATGATAAGACATTTGACATTTACTCTTAGTTATTTTGCAATATGCATTTTTACTTTAAAAGTATTCCTCTTGTCCATGTGAATCATTGTGACTCTTGATCAGCAATCCCCACTGCCTCCCTCCTCACCCCCTCTGCCAGCCTCTAATGGCTCCTATCTGCTCTCTTTGTGAATATTTTTAAAGCATCCACACATGAGTGAGATCACGTGGTATTTGTTGTTCTGTGCTTGGCTTTTTCCTTAGCTAATGTCCCCTAGGTTCATCCACATCATTGGGAATGACAGAATTTTCTTCTTTTTAAACACTGAATAACAGTCCATTGTGTGTTCATCTATATTGATTAACTCTAAAGTTCATCAATAGCCATCTCCTGGCTATTGTGAGTAATGCTACAGTGAATATGAGAGTGCATACGTTCCTTGCACACATTGATTTTAATTCCTGGCAATGGGATTTCTGGATCACATAATAATTTTGTTTTTAATTATTTGAAGAATCTCCAGACCACTTTCCATGATGGCTGTATTAATTTACAATATCACTGACAGCATACGAGGGGCCCCACTTATGAAGATAAAAACCCTTCTAATAGGTGTGAGGTAGTATGTCACTGTGGTTTCTATTTACATTTCCCTCATGGTGACATTGAGCATTACTTTGTGTACTTGTTGGCAATTTTTACGTCTTCTTTTAAGTCTTGGAGAATTTTTCTTATTTTCTAACTGAAAGTGTACCTTGGCTTGGTATACTTCAAAGTGGAGTGAGATAGGCATGTAAGTGTAGTAATGAAGTATGTGACTCCCTAATAATTTCTTCCATCTGCGGCCACTAGAGTTGTCTTAAAGGTCCTATTGAGAACCAAATTTTCCAAATCCTAAATATTGCCTAGTAAACCTTACTCAACAATTTAGTCCCCATGTACATTTATTTATTGATTCTCTAATCCTTGGGTTGGCAGGAAGAACTCAGACATTTATAGTAGGAGCAATTTGTGTCTTGTGATAGTTTCATTGGGGAAAGGTAATAAGAGAGAACCAATCAACCATGCATCCATGTCAGTGGGACTTGAGTTGTCATTGCAGATCTGACAGTGTCTGTATTCATTTCTCACTGACTGTGGTCAGAGGGGATTTGCAGACCTGGAGAGTAGGCTGATTCAGAATCTCTTTGAGGACCTAAGGCATGGGAATCTGGGTACAAAGGAAAGCTGGTACAGAGACCCAGAAATGCTGGCAGAATGAGGGCATAAGAATACATCAATTGATAAATTTAGTATTGATAAGGAAATTTTCTTCTGTTAGTTTCCTTGCTGGATCTGGTACATTACCACACTCATCTTTAAGCTTATCTGTCTGCAGTGTTTTTGTTGATTCTGCAAAGTAATGCATTTAGGATTCTTCTCTTCATTATGTCTTTCATTATTATTTTAGACTATCTCCTGAGAGCACACAAACTGGTAAGTCAGCAATTTGGCTAGGCAAGGAATGAGATGATATAAACTAACAGTTTCAAGGGCTACAAATCCAAAATGAGTTGCATCATGTTTGCTCGAGAGAGACTCCTTTTGTGAATGATTAGTGCTTTCTGACTGAGGCTAGGCCAGCAGTGTGCGGGATGATGGTCCAGAATCATAGTTATACTGGCCTGTCTAATGAGGGTTTACTGCCAGAAAGACTGTACACAGAGAGAACACGCTAGGCAGTGGCACAGTCAATCACTCTTTAGCTACTGGAGAAAGATTGAAAGTTGAAAGGTTTGAACTCAGGCTTGGTGTAGCTATTCAACAGGTAACAGTGAGTCAGTCACTAAGGAGATTTTGTTATCGAAGAATTGATCCTCTGCCATCCTTGTGACACAGTCCTTCCTGGAGGTAGTGGTAACATAAACGTATCTCCACCTTCCCTCTGAGTGTGGCACTGTGTCAGCCTGTATCCGAGAAAGAAAATGCCTGCCAGATAACACTTATTTTCATGGGAAAATCACATGGAAAATGATGTCAAGGTCAAAGTGTGCATCCTGGGGGATTCATTTCATGAATATTCTTCTTGAGATGTGATGCTGCTTCTCTGGCTTGGCCTCACATCAGCCAGCTGGAGGCAGGTATGACCTTTCCAGGGACAAGACAGGGGCCTTGTGGATCATGGGAAGTCATTGCCTCTGGCATAGAGTGTCGCCGGGCATCCCGTCCTCAGGGTTATGAGCAGAGACAGTTGCTACAAAGGACTGTGCATCCCCTTTGCTTTGATGCCAGTGTGCTTGGGTCTGGCAGCTCTTTCTTCCATCCTTATTGGGCGTTGTGTGTGAAAGAATGCAGGTGGAGATGAACACAGCATGTACGTTCAGTGTCAGGCTTGCTGAGTGCTGCCCTGAGAGGGCTGGTGGGGGCTGGGTGCAGAGAGGTCTTTCAAAGACCCCATGTCTGATGGACCCTGGGGAGGGACTTTCTAGAAGAGGACGAACAGATAAGGACCATGCCTCAGCTAACAGCAGCATCTTCCCAGTTCCTCTCCTGCCATGTACTTTCTAACCTCTCTCTCACTTGTATTTTTGGGGCTTTTGCCCAGCAGGCCCAAGGCCAGAGGGTTGCACCCTGTTGTCAGTTCCTACATGCATTCTGCATGCAGCTGTAGGTAACTGACCCCAGTGACTCCCCATGGAGAAACAGCTGTGACTGTGACTCCTGACTCAGCATGGCATTACCATGCTTGGGAAAGAGCTGTGTTCCTGCTGCCAGAACCGATGCCATCCCACCTGTCTGCCTCACCTCTGGAGAGCAGCAGCATTTGCTGATGTGATAATCAAATTCACATTACAGTACCTGATCATGACTTGTATTGCCAGAGGGAAAAGCATCACAAAAGTGTCCCCCAAATGGGAACTGTCCCCATCTGCTGAGGTCCAGACTTCCTCTCTCCTTGTGCAGTTATATTGAGAATGCAAGTGGGCTAATTGGCTGAAACTCCATCAAAGTTCCATGTAGAGAGACGTGTGTTCACTGTAGATTTTAAATCTACCATAAGGAGAGTATGAATGAAACATTTAAAGAATATGACTTTGAGATTTGGATGCTGCTTCATTTATCCAGGTGAAATACCGCACGTTGTTCCATGGTTTCTTATTGGCTGCATGTGGATGGGCAGAGTCTACAAGCCAGGCTCCTGGTCCTCCCATCCTCTGACCATTGCCAGGCTGTGTGTGGGCTCATGCTGGGGGTTCACACAGCCATCTGGGGATTGCAGCCAGGACTCATTTGCTACCCTGTGACATTTTTATTACAGGAATCTTGGCTACTGTGGGGCTTTCTATTTATTTTCTGAATCAACTGCCCAGCAGCCAAGCTGTTAAGACTGGTGGAAGTAAAGAGATTGGACTGAACTGTCTTGGTTGTTCATCTGTCTTTTTTGCATGGCAGCTGTATATCAGGGGTAATAAAACTCACAGAATGATAGTTTCTATAGCTGCTGCAGCTGGGGACAACCTGCTATGCAGCATCTGTTCACATGTGACATGGTGAAATCAGTTTTGGGAACTTGGTGGCTTCTTGGGCTTTTCGTCTCCTAAGTTGGTATCCTGCAGCTATGGCCCATTTTGGTGCATGTTGGTTATTTTACTGAGACCTGATGTTCTCAGGATAGGAGAAAGAGGCTCTGCCTAGTGCATCCCTTCTGGGATTGTCACCTGCATGCATTTTTAGTCATTGAGTATTTAAAAGTTAGTCTCCAGGTATTAGTGTAATGCATACAAAGTGTTTTCTTGGACCCTTTCTCTTCTCCACAGCAAGTCTTGTAATCATAGTGTTGTAGAATTGGCTGGCAGTATAATGACAACCTTTTCATGAGACCATGTGCTGAGCACTTTAAATAAGCTCTCCTTGGTCCTCTCTCAAAGCAGGCAGCAGAGTTGGGGGTCTATCCCAGTACTCTAGACCCTTATGCTCACACCCTGGATTCCCAGCTGTACAGGAAGAGAGGGGCTTACAGAAATGGGCTCAGTTCCGTAATACCTAAGATGAGGCATTGTGTTTGTGTGGAGTGCAGCCATATCTTGAATTCTTAATTCTTCTCTCTTTGTCACCCTCCCCCAGGATGCAGGGAGCCAGCAGATAGGTTTCTTGCTCGGAAGCTGTGGCGTTACTGTAGCCTTGACTAGTGATGCTTGTCACAAAGGACTCCCAAAAAGCCCAACAGGAGAGATCCCACAGTTTAAAGGTATGACACGGTGCCTTAGAGCGCTTACTTACTCTCCCTGGGTCCTTTATGTCACACGGCTGGCTCCTCACTTGTGGAAGAAGGCCTTGTCAGTTCCATGACACAGCTTGGCTCATGTGTCAAAATCTCTGATAAAACATGAAACTCATCAGCCTCTGGGTGATGTGATTTATATGGAGGTGGCTCAGTGCCCTTTTGCTGGTGTTGTCTTAGATTCGATGACATAGGGAACCCCAGAGATTCCATCCTGCCTGAAGTGACATTTGAAAGTATGCCATATGAATGGAGAGAGAGAAATCCTCCTTACTTAAAGAATTTATTGTTTATTTCCAAGGGTGGCCAAAGCTGCTGTGGTTTGTCACAGAATCCAAACACCTGTCTAAGCCACCTCGAGATTGGTTCCCACACATCAAAGACGCAAATAACGACACTGCTTATATAGAGGTAAGTCAGACACTGCCCTTACGTGGTATCTGGGTATGTGTCTGGGGAGTCAGAAAATCCAGAATTGAGATACTCAGATCGCTTCAAATAACTAGAAAGGCTGTTGGGGGCCAGCATTTTGTCTCTGGGAACCACTTCTCTGCACCTTTCTGTCTCATTTCAGTACAAGACATGTAAGGATGGAAGTGTGCTTGGCGTGACTGTGACGAGGATCGCCCTGCTGACACACTGTCAGGCACTCACACAGGCGTGTGGCTACACAGAAGGTATGGATGAGACTGAGGCTCCTGGGGACCTGGGTTCTGTGAGATGCCTTGTTGACTAGGGATGGCCTGATGGAGAGTCAACCTGTGTTGTTCCTGCTACTAACTTTAAAAGTCGTGATAAGTTTGTGCCCAACTGATTGATTGATAACTTAGCGAATTGTTGAGTGAGTGTGTTAGCTTGACTGGATCACAAGGTATCGCAGACTGGCTGGCTTTAACAGCAGACTGGAAGGCTGAGACTGGAAGCCCAGGATCAGGATGCTGGCAGGCATAGTTGGTGGTAAGGTTTCTCTTACAAGCTTGTAGATGGTGCCTGCTGGATTGGCCCTCACATAGCCTTTTCTCTATGTGTACCTAGGGAAAGAGATCTCTTTCCCCATTCTTATAAGGGTGCCAATCAGATCCCCACTCCATGACCTCATTTAATATTCAGTATTTCCTTAAAGGCCCAACTTCCAAGTACCTTCACAAGGAGGGGGAATTGGAGCCTCACCATATGGATTAGGAGGTCCGAAACTGCGTCTGTAATAGTTAACACCGTGGGTGCTCCTCCATGGATTCACCTGAATGTATCTTTAGAAGCAGTTTTTTAAAAAGGGCTCATGAATAAGAAGCTCTACCCTACGAATTGAATGAGAAGCTCTCAGGTGGGTTTTCCAAGCTCCTGGGCATGGCTTCCACAGTGGAGAGCAGTTGCTTTGCAGAATGCATTTTTCTTTCCCCCGAATGATGGCTATGGGAGGTGAACAGGTAGAGAGAACAGAAATAACTGTAGTAACAGCTCTTAACTAGACACAGAGAAGGGCAAAGGTGGTTAAAGTAGGTTCCCCTGGAACCTTCTGGTTTGCTGCCCCAGTCTCCTGTTCAGGGGCAGGGCCACAGCAGGCTAGACATGCACAGTCTCTTTCTGGGAACTGAACACCATTAGAGTTGCCCGTCTCTCTACTTCGGAGTGAAATGTTTTTCTTTTTCTTACTTTTTTCCGTTGTCTCCTCATTCTTTTGATAATCATTCCTTCTAAAACCAACTTATTTGTCACGTGGAGGTGCCATGTTTGACCCATGGCATACTTAGAGATCCGTAGTCTCTAATCATCATCTTATTTGTTATATCCTCGTGATCTGTGTTCTTGACCCTAATGTTTTGAATTTAAATATATATGTGTGTATATATGAACGTATATGTAGTGTGATTTTATCTATACATATGTGTAAAATTATCCTACGTTTTAAAAGTTCTCTTCTGTAAAGGGATCTACGATGTTTCTTTGGAGTATATTTATTTTCAAGTCCCTCTTCCTGGTTACCCTCCATAGTTTAGACTCTGAGAGCAGGCTACAGGATGCTGAACTCTTGGCAAATACTGAAAGAAGGAACAAATTAAGAGTGTAAGCCATGGCATTGGTAAGTGCCCTGGGCAGTGAGTGGTAGCTGTGGAGGCCGCATATGGGCAGCTGAAACACTGGCTTGGCAAGTGAAATTTCAGAAAAACTCCCAGCATCATTAGCAGCTGCCTGCCCAGCTTGGCTGCCACAGTCAATGGGACCATTTGACTTGCTCTTTCCTCTTTTTGGAGGCTCATGCCATATAATCCTTGAATACTCTTTCATCCCTGTCTTTGCAAATTTTGCCTCCTTTATCATCCCACCCAACCCTTGAAGACTTCTTGTAGAGCAGCAACACAGGCCTGGGCTTCACAGGAAACTGACCCCTTCCTCTGGTGGTAAACATGCTTCCCCATCCTGAGACTCACAGGAGGGAAATGCAAAGACATCTTCCTAAAAGAGAAAAAGGGCAGGTAGGGGAAATAAATTCTCAAGGGATGGAGTCAGGTGTGTGTAAGTGATGATGTGGGTAGCTGTCGCTCTTCACTTGGATGTCAGAGTCTTCACCTGCAAATGCTCTCCAGGCCTGGCCAGCACTTTTCACTGGTCTGATGAAAGGCTGCAGAATTTATATGAAGACAGAGTGAAATGCTATTCTTCCAAGACCCATCGTGACTCTCTGAGGTGATGTTGGGTTTTCTTTGCAGTTCTGTCCGTGCAGCCATGTCATAGTAAAAATGCCTGTGATCCTTTCTCTTGTACAGCTGAAACCATTGTGAACGTGTTGGACTTCAAGAAGGATGTGGGGCTCTGGCATGGCATCCTGACGGTAAGTGACCCACCTCACTGTGTCTATTATTAGGTGAATATGCTCAGTGTCAGAACCAATTGAGATCTGTATGTGCCACCTTCTGCAGCTCCCTTCCTCCTAATTGTTAGGAGTCTTACATTGTCTACCGATAGCTCACAACAGCATAGTAAACCAGCTGGTTTCAGCAGCTACTTTCTTGAGTCCTGAACACATAGATTGAGGTTACAGCTACAAGAGCAGCCCTTTCAGGCCTATGTGAAGTTCAATGTGTTTCGTTCCCACTTTTGGCTCTTAAGATTTCACACCAGGATTATCAGTGCTTTGTTTGTGTTTGGTCACTTTCCCATACTGCTCATCTGCCTAGGATGTTCTTGTTATTTTTCCTTCGTAAGTCAGAATTTATGGATATTCAGAAAATGTGCTATTGCATTATTCTACAAAGGGGAAAGGAGTTTACATAGTTGTCCTTGATGAAGGAATTTCAGCATGCCTTTAGAGACTTGTCCTCTTCAGTGAAATGTCTGTTGAGGTTATATCAGTGAGAGGCCTTAAAAGGATCTGTACTTAAATTCTTTGATTCTGTCAGGGGCAGTTGAGGAAAAACACAAGCAGAGAGAATGGAGTTGAAACCAGAGTTTTGGGCCCTAGACTCAACTTCAGGGGCTCCACATGTGAGGCCACCCACCCTTATGTGCCAAATAAAGAGATGAGTAGTGGTGAAGGGCAGAGATACGAGGTTTTAAAATAGCCCAGGCATGCCATAGGAAGAGACAAAGTTAGCATTTCAACCCATTTTCCAGGGTATAGATGTGAGCTTTAGGTTTAAATAAAGGATTTGGGGTATGGTGCATATGGTATGCATAACTGTTGAGCAGTCCTGGTCAGAGGGTGGCTGGGTAAATCATTATCCAGAGGTTCTGGAGGAGTTACCACTGTGGTCACTTGAGGGGAACAGTCTGGTCACCAACAAGTCATTGTTACCTGCTGGGTGGTCTGTCATGCAGAGGCTCTGTTATAGGATACTTTTGGGAAGTTACTTCCTTTTAAAGTTACTTTCTTTTTAAAGGATTATAAAAGATATACACAGAATAGTGTTGAGCTCTGCACTTGCCCCATGAGAGTTCTTCTTTCGTGTGTTACCTTGAGTGCCTCAGCGAAGCTCTCTGGTCCATTTCTTCCTGCTGAGCCTCTGTTTAGATGTGTTACCTGCTGTGTAGGAGCAAACCTTATCCTCTGTCGCATGCCTCCTTGCTTACCTCTGTGTTCGTTCATTGATTTCAGAGTGTCATGAACATGATGCATGTCATTAGCATCCCGTACTCGCTGATGAAGGTAAATCCCCTCTCCTGGATCCAGAAGGTCTGCCAGTACAAAGGTTGGTCTTCCCTGTGGCCTAACGGTATTTTGGTGACAAAGATGACTCACCATTCTCCGTGAATCTCAGTTACCTGACTATTTCAATATCAGCCTGGTCTGATGGTGACACGTGATAACTTCTGTTTTTCTTTGTAGCAAAAGTGGCTTGTGTGAAATCAAGAGACATGCACTGGGCTTTGGTAGCACACAGAGATCAAAGAGATGTCAACCTGTCCTCTCTCCGCATGTTGATAGTGGCCGATGGAGCAAATCCCTGTAAGTGAAGAGTCCATTGTAACTCGAAAGACAGGCAAGCCCTAAACAGAGCTCCTGCTTTTTCTGGGTGTCCTACTTTATGCTGTGACATTTCTTTTTCTAATCTTTATCTTAGTTGAGGTAGTGTCTTAACATCACTCACCAGTATTATTCACTAAAGCACAAAGGCATGGTAGGCAGAATGGTTAAAAACCAACATGTTTGCAGGCAGTCAGCCCTGGGATTAAAGGAAAAATCCTGCTTCTATAGAAAATCTTCCTTTTTAAATATTATTTTCTCAGTTGTGAAATGATACCCAGATGATGAAGGTGGGATTAAAAGAAGTAATCCTTAAGTGGTATATACTGAGTGCTCAAGAAATTGGAACTTAATGTTTTATGATCTATAGTAGTATAATTGACCAGTAAATTCATCTATTATTTTAATGGAATTTCATTATCAAATCCTGTAACAAAAAATTCCCAGATGCGTAAAGTAGCATTTTTACAGCATACCATTTATGTACCTTAAGAAATATTTTAATCATTTGAAGCAAGCAGATAAGTTTTTCTTGTTGTTATTGTTGCTGTTGTTTTTGTTTTTTGAGGTATATAAAGCTAGAAGCCAAGTGGATGAATAGATGGGAATTAAATGAAAAAATGTTTCTGGCCACATTTATAAACTAAAGCAACATATATTTTCCTAATGCTTGATAAACCAAAGTGGGCTTATAAACAGATAGCATAGTTTTATGAATGGTTCTTTCATTTATAAAATAATTCAGCAAACTGTGAGCTAAGGAAATAAATAATTTTTAATCCATAGTGCTATGGAACAATGCATCTTGCAAAGTAAATCTGTATTTGAAAATGGTTTACGTGTTATATTCCCTATAATTTTACCTCAATCTCATTCAAGTTAGTACAAAGGAAAGTTTTCTTTTTCTAGTGTAGATTCATGAATTTCTTAGAACTTGATACTGAAAATAGGGAAAACATTTTAGAAAAGTTATTAAAGTAAGCTCCTCAGTCAGCATAAATGTCTTAAGTTTAGAAGTTGCATTTTTTAAATTCTTGAGTTCTATGAGCTTGTTGAGACTATCATCTTTTGTTGAACCATAAATAATAAATCATTTAAATGAGTTATATCTCCAGGTTGCCTAACTGTTTGCGCCTAAATCCTAACAGCAAAGCTATTTAATACTATGGGATATTTTAAAATCAGTCATGGAGCTGCTCTTGTCTGATCATTGTCCTTCTTTCCCTCTAGGGTCCATTTCTTCTTGTGATGCATTTCTCAATGTCTTCCAGAGTAAAGGCCTTCGGCAGGAGGTCATCTGTCCCTGTGCCAGCTCACCAGAGGCCCTTACTGTGGCCATCCGGAGGTACTGGATCACATCAGTTAAAGTAGACAGCCTAGAGAGCCACCCTGATTAAGTAGCCCCCAGAGGCTAGGAAATAGTTACTGCTTAGTGTGAGAATTAAGAACGAGACCTGACCTTTTCAAGATAAGCTTATTTCTCTGTTAAATAATCACATGGTTTTTTTTTTCAGTCATTTGTCTAGACTGATTAGTTAGTAAAACATTTCTCATTCTCTAGTTTTGTCCTAATTCCTTAGTTCGTAGAACTCTGTCTTAGAGTAAGTGGAATGGAACTGTTTTGTCTTTGTAGGATACTTATACTTTCATTGGCATGTTTCAGTCTCTAATTTAATTTAATTAATAATCAAGTGAACATTGGATGAAGTAAGATTTTGCCAAACAGATATTCCCTTGTGCGTGCAGTTTTTATGTTGTTTTTACTTTCTGCCCTCTGGAGTCCCACACTTTAAAAAGCACTGGTTTTCTGAGTCTTTGAGCAGCATGGTGGCACATCAAAGGCTCTGGAATCTGTGATGACCATATACCCCACAGCCCGGGCATTGAGTTTCCTGGAGAGCTTTTGTTGGATCAGCATTGTTAACAGTAGTCCTTGGTCATATGTCACTCAAGCCTGCAGAACAGCACAGTGCTTAGGAGGAAGGTGATATTGGGATATAAAATTTATTCTACCAGGATGTGAAGATGAGATTTGTTTAACACCGTAAATGGCCTCAAAATAGTAAAGGAACTAGGAAGACCTGTATTTGATCACCATTACCATGAGTTGGAGTTGGCTGTCAGTCATCCCTATGTGCTCCTAGTTATCAACACTAATGCAAGAAAGAAGTGTTCACATATATAGATAATTGAAACTTCTAACATAACTTACTTTGGGGGTTCCATCTCTAAGTAGAGTTTATTCTGTGTAGTACAAATGTATGCCATTATAAGAATGGATGAGGTAGAATACTCAGTGTACAAAGCACATGGATTTCACTCTGTATTACTAAAAATCGAGGTTTCCAAAAATATTCACTATAAGTTTCCTTAAATAAGAAAACGTGTGATGCTTTTAGATTGCATAACTGAGAAATCAAAAATCTTTAAAGTATCAGAAGCTACCTTTGATCTTGGTTGAACCACAAATTAAGCCTATTCCAATTTTTAAATGGATGATGAAACATGGTATCATTATCCAGGATCCAATCTTCCATTTTAGAAAGATGTATAGTGTACTCTATCAATAACCTTTTGACATTTGTGTTTGACCTTGGAGTACAAAACACACTTAAGATTGTACAATGAAGCAGAATTTTTAATCACAACTGTGTTATTCCAAATCAGTTTTTAAATATGTGTCTATGTGCAAATGAGAGTAGTTACCAAGAAGCTTGAGCCTCAGGGACCTTGGTACAGAGGGCCAAGGGTTGGGAGTCCAGGTTTGAGTGCCACCTGGACTGTGGTTGGTCACATGGGCACTAGTGTGACCATGTGACCAACCAGGGCCTCCATTTTTTTCCCACTAGAAAATGAGTGAGTTAGATTCAGTCATCTCTGAATTTTCTTCCACCTATAAGTGTTTAAGATCCTACATTGCTGTTGCATAGCACCACTGCCACAGATAATTCATAAAGTACATGAACCACATGTGTAGAAAATCCATAGTAGACATGATCAAATGACTTGCTCATTGCTCTTCCTGATAATGTTTTCTTTGTGCCAGTAAACCAAGTAGCATGGATTACACCAAAGTTGACTGGCAGAGGGAAAAGGGATAAGCAAGGGACTTTTAATCCTTTCCTTAAAAACCTTTAAAATTAAAAAAAAAAAACATATTCTTTAAAAAGAGTAAAAAATCTGCACCAGTAACAGGTGAATTAAGCAGCAGGGATTTTCTGGGCGTATCTGGGACATTTTCCTTATGGTAAGTGGGACTCAAACATAAAACCAACAAATAGGATGAGCATGAAAGAGTACCTGCTAACTAAGCATGTACACTTTGTATCCAAAAAATCTAAGGTGACTGAGAATGGTAGTTTTAAAGTTTTTTCAAAGGTATCCTGGTCCTTTAGGAATAAAGAAGTAGGGAACGAATAATTTCCAGACTCCGTTTCTTTCAGAGATTGAGCTTGCTGTAAGACACCATGATTACATTTGTTAAAATTATCAAGGATGATAGTTTGACACGAGCTGGTCCATCATGGCTGGTCCATCAGCTGGCCTTGCTTTTGAACAGTGTGGCTTCTGTTTGCAAATGCCAAGTATGCATCTGCTCAGCCTCTTGGTTCCTTCATACCTGATCACAGTCTGGTAGCCACTGTTCTACTCAGAGCTATTGTCAGTTTCCCAACCAAGCAGTAGAAAATCCCAGAACCAAGAGCAGGTGTGGTAGACACAGCCAAAATCCTTGCTGTGTCCTCCAGTTTGTAACACATCGCAACTGGTGCTGATGGAGTTGCCCAGCATAAATGGAGGCTCTAGGTGGAGAGTTTTTCATTGCAAGCCTTGGATGTTATAAAAGATTGTCACCAGAAAGAGTCCAGATTCATCAGTCTCCAAGACACCATTACCATGTGTTTTAAGCAGTACTAGCCAGGCAGAAAATGAAACATACATCACCTTTACTGAATGTTTGCAAATTCTCATCTAGCCTGTATAAATTTAGCTGATTTTTTTTCTGCCAGTGGACTAAATTTAAAGATAATGAATTAAAACAGAAAAGGTTTGTGATTTGGAGAGTCAAAATGTCAGGTCTAATCCCGAACTGGTTTTTTTACAGACATTCCATAAGCCTCAGGAATTCCATTTATTTACTCTGTACTGAACAAGCATTCAACCATGCTATGTTTGATGACTCTGGCAAAAGCTACTGGATGTCCTCTTGGTCTCTGTGTCTCACACACATAACTGTGGTTACCATAGGGTTGTCCCATCATGTCAGGCTGCAGCCACCTACTGTCCTCTAATGCCAGCTAGTACCTCCTGGGGCCATTACCACAAGGAGTTATGGCAGCTGAAAACAATTGTTACCATAATTTATGTACATGCAAAATATCCTTGGAAAGGAGCAAGTAATATGAAATCTATGTAAATATATGACTAAATGGATGGTGTGACAGGTGTATCTTCTTGCCCGGAAACAGTTGATCATCAGTTCTCACAAGGTACCTTGCCCCATTGTCTCTGGAAATGTAGAAGGAGATTAAACTGAATCCTTGTTTTCAGCAAGTGAATGTGGAATGATCAAGAAGAATGGGTCTAGCTATGTTGTGGAGTTTTACAACATAGATTTCTTACTTGGTTTTCTCAACTAATAGGAAATAATGAATTTTTTGAAAAAGAAATACCTGCTCACAAACTGGACTTAAATTGTTTCTGCTGAAAATCCAAGTGAGGCTGACTGTGGTGGCTTACATCTGTGATCCCAGCTACTCAGAATTGGAAACTGAGAGGATCATAGTTCCAGGCCAGCCTGAGCAAAAAGTTAGCAAGATCTCATCTCAATCAGTAAGCCTAGTGTGGTGCTGTGTGCCTTTGTTACTAGCTATACAGCAGGCATAAATAAAAGGATCAAGATCCAGGCCAGACCAGGCAAAAATAGAAGACAACCAAAAGGTCTGGATTATAACTCAAGTGGTAAAGCACCTGCCTAGCAAGTGTGAGGCCCTGGGTTCAAACTGTAGCACCTCCAAAAAAAAAGAAAAAAAAAAGCAGGGGGTGGGGGAGCCAAGTGATACAACCTCTATAAGTAATTTCACTTTACATTTTTCTCAAAGTTGTGTGGGCTTTTTTTCTGCAACTATAGATGAGACAGTGAAATGACATCTCACGGAGGGAGGGCCTCCTGTGTTCTCCTTTGAGGATTTTTCCTTCTCTTCAGTTTCCAGGGAAACTGCCTCATGGCTTCAGTCTTCTCCCTCGGCAGGTGCTCAGTTGAGTAGAGTTGAAAGGCAGGCCTCCCCTCCACTGGTTGGTCTCAGCCCCAGTCACCACTTCTGAGGACCCAGGGCATGGCCACCACAGTCCTGGAACCCTTCTCTGGAGCATGGTTCATGTGCCCAAAGCCCTGCATGTTTTCTGTGGCAGAACTAAGAAGCTATTAGATGGCGGGGAGTGGGCACTGGCCTGATGTTGCAGACAAGTCCCCGCATCTCTGCCCTTGTGTTATCTCCATAATCACACTCACAACAAGGAATTAAGAGAAGCATGTTTTATTGGGCAAATCTGGTTTTCAAGAGCATTTGAATAAGAAAATATAAAGAGAGAACAGACCTGATGGAAAATTGCAGAATTCTTAGGACATGTTTTGTCCTCTTCCAGTACCTCTCTATTCACGCCCAGGTAACATTCTTCCCCATAAACACTCATGTTCTCCACTTCTGACTTAGTAACCACAGAGAGAGCATGGTCTTTGCTCCAGGTGCCTGTGCTATTAGAAGATGTGCCCTGGGTCTCCTGTTCTTTATTTCCCCTCTTTCTCTGTTTTCCAGTTTGTCTTTTAATTCCATGTTATCTTTTTATTCATTCATCAAGTACTGTTTTGAATCCCCACTGTTTGTCAGCAGAGTTCTAGATTGGAGGACGTAACAACAAAGCCAGGAAGTGCCTGCTCCCATGGGACATAGTAAGGGAAGACCTCATTAGCAATCCATCATATGAGTGAAAAGATAATTTTAGGTAGCATTGAAATTTGTCCTTCTGATTTCACTGGGCGAAAAGAACAGACTATGTTTCCTCACATCTCAGAGTGATAAACTACCCCTGCCTGGTTTTTTTGTACATGAAATTTCCTTGGAATGCAGCCACACCTGTGTGTTTATGAGTTGTCAGCAGTGGAGGAGATGAGAGGTTGTGGCAAAAAACATGTGGGTCAAGCTGCTTCCATAAGCAGCAAATGAATGATCGTGACCAGAAACTCTGAGCTGCAGAGGGCTGCCTTGCATTCCAGATAAACTGGGAAAGATTTGTTTTGTTCCTCCTAGTGCTGATTAACAGAAAAAATGATTTTATGGTAGGTAATTC